CAGCTCGCGATACTTCAAGCATTGCAGTAGATCTTCGGGTGTGCGGTCCGTAGTCTGCGCCATGGGGTGCAGCTCGAGCAAATCAGATCCGCAGGTGGTTCCAGTGGGTGTGGCGACCGCAGCCGCGACACCCGCGAGCGAGGCTCTTAGATAGCCAATAGGAAAACTGTACATTTTTTGCCTTGTATAATTCATGTGGTCTATATTTTATGAAGCTTTAGAAGTGTTTTTGGGCCCAGTTGAAGAAGAGAGAGCTTCAGTACAGGAGCCGGGCTCGGGCTCGGCGGACTTTGGCTCCGATGGCGAGGGCGAGGTGCCCAAGGAATCTGAGCCTTTTTTGAGCCTAAGCGGCCATGAAAAGTGGGTTTCATGTCTATGCATGGTCGATGGCACCACGCTGGCTAGCGGAAGCTTTGATAACACGGTGATGATCTGGGACCTCACGGCAAAGCTTTGCAAGGCCACACTGAAGGGCCACACCAACAGCATCAAGGCTCTTTGCAGGATCGATGCCAGTACCGTGGCCAGTGGGGCTCGCGACAGCACGATCAGGATCTGGGACCTTCCCGCCCAAAACTGCAGATCAGAGCTCCGAGGCCACAAAGGTGATGTGAATGCTTTGTGCCGGGTTGATGCTGCGACTTTGGTCAGTGGCAGCTCGGACGATTCCATCAAAGTCTGGGATCTCTCAGCACAGGGCTCTGTAGAGTCAGCAAGCCTCACCGGACATGAGAGCTCGGTTCTGGCGCTTTGCAAGCTTGGAGACAGCAGCATTGCGAGTGGCAGTTTGGATGCAAGCATTAAGATCTGGGATCTCAGTTCGAAAACTTGCACGGCCACTTTGACGGGCCACACCAGCTCTGTGTGGGCCCTGTGTAGGGTCACGCCCACTCTCCTGGCGAGTGGCAGTGGTGGGGACAAGACCGTTAAAGTCTGGGACCTCCCTTCCAGGGCTTGCAAGGCAACCTTCCAAGGACACCGAGGCGACGTTGTGGCCGTGTGCAAAATCAACTCGTCCACGATCGCGAGTGCAAGTGGCGACAGGGATGTACGGCTTTGGGACCTGACCTCGCAGTCCTGCACGGCCACGTTCACCTTTCACAAGGATTCGGTTATGTCGCTGTGCAGAGTTGGGAATGGCACTGCAAAGCTCGCAAGTGGAGGGCAAGACAACCAGATTTGCCTGTGGTCGTAGACCGTGCAAGTCCCCTTTCCGTGTATAGCATGCCAGGCTGGTGTTTGGATCATCCTTGGCGAGCTGAGTTTCACCAGCACAGCGAAGCAAGTGGTCATGTGTTGCACCATGATCTGGAGAATGGGGGGCGCAATCCCGGAGGGAGAGAACGAGAGAGACGGTCAGCCGGCCAAGGTTTCGATTATCACTTCATGATGGACATGATGAATGCAGACGGGCTTTCCTTCGCCTTCATCCTCGCGTACCAGCTGATAGGCGCGCTCTTTGGACCGGGATGGGTCACAGCTTCTCTTCCACCCGTCAACCGGTGGCTGCTGGGGGGGGTGGGTATATAGGATTAGGAAGTGGTGCTCATGTCCACAGCCTCGACGTCGTGGAATTCAACATCTAACATTGTAGGTGCCACAGGTGCTCTCCACGTAGCCAACAAAATCATGAAC